TTTCCATATATGTTGAATTACGAATGGGAACTTTTGAAATATTATTCATTTGATGATTCATAAATTCTCAATTATGTATTGGTAATATTCCTAATTAGCTATAAAGAATCCATTGCCTTGTAATTCTCCCTCTTATATTCCGTGTCCTATTGAATCTGAATTTGTGTTAATAATAATTACATTAATTCACACTAGAGGAGATTTGGTATGGTGAACGTGACACGACATGATGTTTTGTTATGAAGTATAAGAAATATTTTAACAAGCTGGTGGCTGAAAAAGTCACAAATTAATAACTATAATACCGGGTGACCAGTTATATTCTGACCCATTTCAACTGCTCATATCTTCGAAACTATTCAAATTATCGTTGTGCGGTTTGGACTTCTCTATGTTGATATTCTTCAAGTTTTTTGAATGGTTCACCTTCTCACCTGAACTTCTGGTTCTGCCGGAAACAAGCTATTATTTAGGTATAAGGCAACTTCCATCATACCAATAATTGAGAAAAATCCACACGGACCCAATTTACAGTCGCATTAAAAAAAAAGCGTACAAGTAATCGAGTATATTACAGAGAGGAATTAACGTCATCCTATTATGCATAAAACGGGCTATCGGGAATGATTGCTTACCAAATGTTGACAGTTAAGTTGTCATAGGTTCTCAAAAACACTAAGCATTGGCTGAGCCAGTTTTACACAACTAGAACTAGGATCCCGAAATCCTCTCTTTTTAATACTTGTTGCTTTTTTATTGAATACGACTGTACCTTGAAAATTTGCGGGGTCCTTTGCAGTCGGCTCTTGGAGTCAATTCAAACATTTCAATGGGCGAGGGCAGAGTGACCCCTGTACACGCTAAGATGACTTCTGTGTAGTGTAGCAATGTTGACTTGAGTTTTTTTTTCTACAGAAAAACCATCAGCTAAGAGAAAATCAACAGGTGGCGGGGATGCGACTGATAGTGCCGTCCAACCAACACCTGAGAAAAAGGCCAAAGTTATTGAAGAATCTGCGGAAGCGGAATCGAACACGGAGGCAGAAGTAACTGCCTAATCACATTCGACTCCTTAAACATTTGGGTTGTAATTTTTTTTATACTTATGTATAATGATAGGGTTATGGTGAAACCCTAACGTTGCACATACTTTTACTACATGACACCATTATCATTAGGAAATCGCATTTATTTTAAGTTATTTTGGCACAAGATCTAAATAGAAAAAGATGTTGATATTTCTTTAATGTTGTTAGAGTGGGTGCCAAGATTTTTATTGGTGCAATTGTGTACTTAATTTTTTTTTAATAAGATTGACTATATTAGTTCTTTGTTTTCAGTAGACTGGTATTTCCGTGTCGTGAAGTCAATGATGTGTCTTTAGGATGTTTAAGAATTCTGTTATTGCAACAAGTGAATCTCTCACTAACAGGTGTTTTCTAAATGTGTTCATATCAAAAACAAAAAATACTAATTTTGTACTTGCTAGTTGTTTTGTACTGAATAATACATTTATTTGAAGGATGGCGTATGCTAACTAACAATAGAATATAATAATTATTATATGTAAGTCTAAAGGAAAGTTTGTAACAGTGTCTCATATTTCATGTTATGGGTATCGAATGTTGTAAATTTGGCTTAGAATTTTTCTAGTTGAAAGAGAATTAAGATAGTAAATAATAGTAATGGTGCGTTAAATGCTGATGGTACAAACTGTTTCTCATTAATGGTATGGCAATAAAGAGTTCAAGTAGATCAGCGTTTTTACTCTAATGTGAAAATGCACTGTGCATTGACACTTTTATTTTAAAAAAACATTGAAAATATGAGAAGCTTCAAATTCATAATAATGAATCTAGGACCATATAAAAAAAAAACAAAGTTGATGGCAGCTCATAGACGAAAGGTCCCAGACAGCACTGGATATTCCTAGAATATTCTCAAAATATGCTAAAAAGGAGGAGTATATTCCGAATATTCAACGATTATTCGTAGAATATATACATGCCTCTGGGACATCTAAAAGGAATAGTCGGATATATTCAGGGAATATTCAGGTATGAATTTTCCAGGAATATTCCCAACTGAATATTATCTGTTGTATATTCATGAAATATTCTCAACTGAATATTCTGTGGTGTATATTACATGAATATTCCTATATTTCTCAACACATAAATACCAATCATTATTTCAGAGATGTGATTATCAAACATCAATTAGATGCTGTGAGGGGATTTTGAAACAAAAAGTGTATATGATCTGATTTCGAACAACGCTCTCACAAGAAATTGATATGTACAACATTATTCAATTCCATTACTGGCCTAGTGGTCAAGGCGTTGCTCTGATATTCTTAAGGTCACGAGTTCGATCCCTACTTGGGTATCACTTTTTTTATTTTAGAATATGTTTATTGTAATATTCCAGGAACATTCAACATGGAATATTCTTTTGGATATATTCTATGAATATCTGAGGAATTCGCATATTTAGAGAATATTCCACAGATATTCCGGAACATTCCAGATTATTCCTAGAATATTCCAAAAGGAATATGATAGGGAGATTCATGGAATATCTGGTGCAGTCTGGGGTCTGTTTAAATATCTGATAACGCCATCTTTTAGAACAGAAAAAGTAGCAATGAGAATGTGTAAGTTATTTTTTCAGCACTTTAGCTATAGTACAAACCATTATTTACTCATTTTTAAGGCGTAAAGTGTGTATTTACTGCCAAGGTAGTTTTCGTCATTTTATGAACAACAAAACAAAAAGAGATGGCTATCTCAGGTATACCAACCAGAATTCACTGTTCTTATGCGATAATCACAGGAATGGCACTTGAATCTAGTAGGTAGGTAGGGAACAAAGTAGTAGATTTTAGCTTCAGGTTGTGTTGTCTCCCGACGCGTAGCGGAGGAAGACAAAAAAACCGTAAGCTAAAATGTAATATTTTTCACGTGTATAATGCACTATTTTTTTCTGTGACATATAAAAGGAAAAGGAAAAAAGGAATCAATATTGAGAAGATATTACCTACATTATTTTGAAATCTGAAAATTATCGACGTGAAATTTTAAGTTTTTAACAGTATAGGGACACCTGCGTTGGCACTGTTGGCATCTTTATCATTCTTTTGAAGTAATCAAGAATTAATCAAGTAATCCAATATCCGATGTCACTTCTGTCAGTCTAATTCTCACGGGAAAAAAGTAATTTATGAAAAGTGACATTTTATAACCTGCCAACAGAGATGATCGAAATGACAAACTTTTTTCCCATCACAGAAAAAAATATATTTTTCGGAAAATCACTTGAGAAAACAGAATAAAAAATAGCCATCCGTCACAGGAATTGAACCCGGGTCGCCGGCATGGAATTCGATTGCACAACTGCGCCACGGAACCTGAAAATAATAATTATATGTATGGTATGAAGAAATAATCTATAGTGTATGATGAATTGATCTTCATCATACAGGTCGTGGACAGTAATTCTGAATTGAGAAAACAATCCTAATTTTGAGAAAATTCTTTTTCGAGACTTAGAGTTTAGCTCTTAGTCATCAGGTGGTCATCAGCCATTGCTTGCACATGGTTCACTTGTTGCGTCCTATCTATAGACGTTTGTTGATCGCCTATGCATATGTCTGGGCTGGGCGAAACGGATTCGTGCTGCGTCTAGACAACGCAACAAGTATTGCAGAAGAGGGGATTAAGCTCCGTCACGTTTGCTGGTGTCAGGTCAGATTGTTTGGAAAAAGTAGTCTCCTATAATTTTCTCTCAGTAACTTTTCGAAAAATATACTTTTCACGAAGAAGATTCCAATGCCGAGGTAGGTTAGATGGTTCAGAAAAAATAGTTTAATATAAACGCCTCGACACGTGTTTCGCTAACTATGTTAGCATCTTCAGGAGAAGATTAGAACTTTGTATACGCAATATTTCAATCGTACGAATACGAAAGCTCAGGAGTGCCGTCTTAGTAACTCGAAATTTTGTCTTATCAAGTCGAATTTTCGACTTACTAAGTCGAAATTTCGTCTTACCAAGTCGAAATTTCGTCTTACTAACTCGAAATTTCGTCTTATGTAGGACGAAATTTGGAAATTTCGTCTAAGCTCACAGCCACAAAATGGTATTATGTGTACTTAGTATCTCTTCATTATTTAGAGCGAGTTGAAAATAAGTTCGAACTAAGCCGTTTTTACCCATTTTTGATACTTGAAGTTTATGTCCTCATTTTCAAAATCTTTACACTCATATATAATAGAGATCTGAGTTGAAAAACTAAGAAAACAGTGAACCAAAACTGGCATCCGTAGTGGGTGCCTAGATCTAGATGTCTTTTATTGTAATCGCCAAGAACCATCAATAACGCTGGTTTCATATGACTTTTCATGGAAACTCGAAATTTCCAGATAACGATCATGTCGAAATTTCAAGTTAACTATGTCGAAATTTCGAGATGTTGAGTCGAAATTTCGTCTTATTAGTAACTCGAAATTTCGAGATAACGATCATGTCGAAAATTTCAAGTTGATATGTCGAAATTTCGAGATTTTAAGTCGAAATTTCGACTTACTAGGACGAAATTTCGACTTACTAATGCGAAATTTCGACTTAGTAAGACGAAATTTCGACTTTTTCTTTTTTTCCATTGGCACTCCAGAACTTTTGTACCAGAGCTTTCGTACAGTCGTGTAATTTTTCGAAAAATGTATTTTTCAGGTCTTCAGGAGGAAGGTTCAGTTGGGCCGAGTAAGAGTAAGGTGATGTAGTCTCCTTTTTCATGCAGAAACGATGTTTTCCTTTCTCATATAATATGACTCTATAATAGTCTCCTCCTTAGATCATCCTGTATGATCTAAGGTCCTCTCCCTTGCGCCACCCCCACCACGCGGCAATATTTGATGCGCCCTGTCTCTAGACGCTATTACTGACATCGTGACATCTACAAAAACTAAAAACATAAAAACAAACAAAACAAAGTTGCTAGTCATTTGCCGCTGCCGGTCAGTGTTTTATAAAGTAAAATGATTCGCGTATTGGTATTATCAGTTTTCTTAGTTTTTACAAGTGTTAATTGTAATATTGTAAGGTAAGATTAACCCAAGATCTTCAATACAATAATATTTTGATAACTTATTTTCCCATTTGTTCAAAGAATTCCATTGGAAAAATTCAAATCAGCACGAAGAACTTTGCATGATGTAGGAACTGATGTTCATCAAGTTATCATGAGATACAGTCACAAAGGAATAGGAGGGCCAGTACCAGAACCCTTGTCGAATTACTTGGATGTATGTATTGAATCCTATGAAACACCCTGATAAGCTTATTCTCTTTGACTTCCTCAGGCCACCTATATAAGGGTTTCAAATCACAATAATAACATGTATAAATCCATAATATAGAGCCCAAGCTAGTTGAATAAAGGGCCACTTTATAAAAAACTTCAAGACTTAAGATTTATCACCTAACATTAGGCTTATCACTTGGGACAGAGGGAACATGGAAGCATAGATCTAACATTTAAGATTTAAGAAGATGACCAACTTCCAACTTGAAAAGTGCTGATAAATGATCATAAATGGAATAAGGAGTGTGCATCCAAAAGTGACATCTCAATTTCCCACCATTCAAAAATAATTCAAAATATCTTGGGCTGTTATTCCTGAATATTTGTTTTTCTTCTGATGGATACTGAACCCTTCTTCAAAAATACACTAGAATGTCCCAACTCTGCTGCCTCCATTTTTGTCAGTAATGACAGAAGACATATATATTGCCCTAGAATCTTAATTTCTTTATAACTGAATCCACTTAAGACTTGAGTCTTAAATGTTTAAATGTTATGTATTAAATGCTAAAAGTTTTTAAAGTCACCCTTAGATGACACATAAAGTGTGTTTCACTTCTGATGGAAACACCCCTGTATCTTAAGTAATTGTTGTACAAGGTAGGTTGACAATCACTTTGGATTCAAAACAGGACGTCCAATTTACTAACTTCATATTTTTCCTGGGGAAATTTTCAATTCTGAAAAATACAATTTTTGTCTCACTCTTCATGGAAGCACCTCCTTATCCCTATTTTATGTGATTATTGGGGTAGGATTATGAAATTTGCAGGAGAAAAATATAGTCCAAAAATACAGTCATTGACCAACTGACATTATAATCAATGATCTACACTGTTTGCCAGCAGCATTGGAACTGGACAGGCAAGCAGTGTCAATCACTGATGATAATCTTAGTTGATTATTGACTTTACATCATTAAGGGGGATCTGGAATGGCTATGCTTCAAAGTGAAAATGTTTCTAGTATGATAAGATTCCCAAATTTCTGTTGTTTCTCCAAACAGAAGAGGGGTAGGGCTATTTGATAATGTAGTGCTGCAAGCCCCCCTGATTGGCCTTATCAGTGGCAGCAGCATGATGAGCGATGTCTCCTACAGGTGTTTAGTATGATGGCCCTTCTAAAAAAAAACAAAGGTCATTTGAAAGATCATCAATTCCTGTGTAAGAAAAAACACTGCTGCATTTTACAAATAGTGAAGAAAGTGGTTGCTTCAGCGTTTGAAGGACACCCTCTGCAAAGCTGAATTAGGCGTTTCAATTCGGTGTTTCAATTCGGTTTTGTCAGCAATCACCTGGTTCCATTAAATCTTGAATAGGACTAATAGGCTCGCTAATAGGAGTGTCATGGTCATGTATGAATAATTTTATTAATTATTGATTTTTTTCTTTTGGGGCGCCCGAAAGCCTTTTTTTTTTAATGGGACACCCAGTATATATTATTCTCAATCGATAGGATATTCAATTCTGAACAGGAACAGTCGTATAACCTTCCATCACAAGATTAAAAATGACTGAGGTATCGACGATTTGTTTTTACTCAATACTCTTTGTAGTAGGGCAAAGTTAAAAGTGATACACAATCACTTTGACATGAAATCATCGATTGCTCAAGTCATTTTTGAATTTACAATGAAAGGTTATGGGGCAGTTTTTGTTCAGAATCAAATTTTTTATCAAATAAAAATATTTTATACTGGGTGTCCCATTTAAGAAGAAAGCAGGTAGGTACCTTCTGACATAAAAGTAAAAAGAAATCGTTGATAGCTCAGTCATTTTGAATTTAGGATAAAAGTTTATAGGACTGTTTTATGTTGCCTTGTCAGTTCTCAGCATTCAGCACATTGTTGCCAAGTCTTCAAAATTTACATGATATTTTGTTATAGAGTATAACAAATATTTGGACATACTGGTTGGTCGAAAAAGTGAAGAATGAACTATAATATCATGACTTCCTCCTATTATGTTTTATCTCGTGTTTTATCCAATGAAAGAAGTCTAATATCTTTTTGATTACTTGAATATAATTGTTGACTTGACAACCTTGCTTCAAATTCAACATAAGAAATATCTGATTTGAAATTTGTTACGGGTACCCTCATTTACCGACGTCGTCAAAAGAGAAAAATACGGAAAAATTAGTTTACCTAACAAGTGCGACAATAGTATATTACATAACAAGAGTTGTAAAACGCATATTACGCACGAAGTGGAGAGAGTTACACACGATGCCGCATAGCGGCGAGTGTGTAACTCCACAAGTGCGTAATTGCTTTACAACTCGAGAATTGTACTATACTTTTTCTACGACTACACTATATTTTTTTCCGGATATAGTGCAGATATTGTACTAAGGCACAAATAACGAATACCAATATGAAACGTCTCCCGTCACTAAGCCAGATGCATGAAAAGTTACATATCACAATTCTTGTGTTTGTTTATTGATACGTTGCATACCGAGACATTTTCCTCAATTCGAACTGAAATGGAGCCGTTTTTCATATCTAAACAGCTTTATTAATAGGTAGCAAAAAACACATTGTTTAAAAATATAAAATTATCATTCATAATGGTTATATATTTGTAACAGTGCAGCACGAGAGATTCTGTAATCGTTATTAAAAATAATAAAAAAAAGTTCTCCCAACTGCGCTCTGATCCACCGACCTTTGGGTTCGGAGCCAGCGCTTCCAACAACTGAGCTACCACCATTTCTCCGTATTAGTAGATATTTTATTAATATAATTTCGAAGATTGATCTTTTTTAATTATTGCTGTTATTTAAAGAAAAAGGAATTCATCAATTCAATGTTGAGTATGTATGTTATTAGAAAAATTACCTTCAACAGGAGCATTCTGCAGAAAATAATTGATCTGTTCAGCATTGAGTATTTTTGATATTTCACTTCGGAATCCATCCTTCCCTTTTGAGAATATGGGATAATATGTTGCTATATTAATATTGTGATTGATATTTAGTGTTGATCGTAACATGGAATATATCGACCAGAGTGATGATGATTTCATCGAATTTGATTATTCTTGAAAATATACTGAAAGGATTTTTCCGAAAATGACACGGTATTATTTCTAATTCTCCAGTCCAGGAATTTTTGATGTGCTATTTCGTATTATTCACGAGACTTAGCGGGTAGCAACTAATTTTTTACCATTTTAGCTTTTTCCAACATCCTACCCACCTAGCAAGTGACATTAATGAAATCGTTAATTGTTATCGACACATCGCCTAAGCAACAAAACAAAGTCATCATCAACATACCTATGAAAACCGTGCGATCGCTCTCTTTACGCACACGTGTGTAAGGAGAAGCTTACTGCCATTGTTTTGTGTACAATATCCATCACTTACAGTAGTAGTCGTAGGAAAAGTAATTTTACGCACCTGTTAGGTACACTGTTTTTTCTACTAAAAAACCCCAAATTCATATTTTCCGCACTCATTTGACTGTTGAGAGTTTTTTCCGCACTAGTGCAGAAATGCGACTCTTTATGCACTGAAATAAGTGCAGATAAGTGGACTTTTCTGCACGCTAGTAGAAAAAATATTAATCAATCCACTGTATCTCTAATGGTATATTTTTTCAGTAACCAGTGAACAATTTTCTGTTACTAACTGAAGAAGTCTTTAGAAAGAATATTCGTCTGCTAAGATATTTCTTGTGAAACACTGTTTTTTTGCTTATTGTTGTTGTGGGTTCATTTGCTTCAAAAATCTTGAAAATAATGCAAAAACTTGGAAGCATTTCTGTAAATTTTCTGAAAAAATAAATAGTTCACTTGTCAACTTCTTATTGGAAGAAAAATCAGAGTATATTTTGCAAAATGTAGTATAGCGTTTTTGAATGAAATATATTTATATAGAGATTATGAAATGGTAATAAACTTTGTATCATTCTAATCGTCTCTGTTGCTATTTATGCTGATAACAATGTGTCCTGTGATAGTTGAATAGTTATACAATTCAGGTTAATGAACATTGCATATATCATTTTTATCTAGTTGGTATCAAATTATTTCAAACTATTCAAACACTCTTTTTCGAAAACGTGAATAAAAATCGTTAAAAGAACTTGTATCACTATCTCAGCCCGCCACGTTTTATCAATGATTTTAAAATTATTATGATAAAGACTTTTTGTTATGGAGCTTTATCCATGAAATGTTTCTGAAGAAATTCAAGAAAAAATACATAATGTAACTGAACCGAGAACTGAACAGTAAACGTATTTGAAATAATGTTGGTAGTTTCTTTTTATGTCTAGGTTGAAGTTGCAAAAAATCACGTTAGTTTTCAATCCATTATTTTCCATTTGTTTTTGTAATCGGATAGAAAATATTGTCTTTTGGCGGTGGCAGCTTGCAATATTTTTTGCTGATATAATTCTAATTATTTTTGTCAAAATTGAATGTTCTTCATGTGAATGGGGTTGTATGTACACACCAGTTACAAATAATTTTTTTCATTTCTCTACTTTTTTCTATTTTTTTTTTCGTTATTGAGAATATTAGTATTATTTCAGTATATTTTTTGGCACTTTTTCACTCAAACTACACCCTATTACTCGGCAACAGAACATTTTTGAAACCATAGTAATTCTTACATGATATGTACTTCTTTTGTTTCATTTGCCGCCTATTTTGTGATATCCTCTACCCTGTTGATGTAAAAAGTTCGCGAGTTTTATATTGGAAGTAAGAAGTAAAAACCCAAGTTTACCCATCCCTAATAATTACATGAGTTTTTGCCAATTTTCCAAAAACTAAGCCTCAACCTTCTGAGCCATCCAACAGAATTCAGAAAATTTTGACATGGACATTGAAAATGTTAGCTCTCATTTTTCACGATCACACAACCAAAATGATCCTATATCCACCGTGAATCACCCTGTGTAGTAGTAGTTGACGGTACCTTCCCAAAAGTATTATTTCATTATAGGTAATTCGTTAACATAATTTATGCTTTTATAGGCTCAATATTTTGGCGCCATTTCCATTGGTAATCCCCCACAGAAGTTCAAAGTGGTTTTTGATACAGGATCGTCCAATCTGTGGGTACCTTCGAAAAAGTGCCATTTCACCAACATCGCCTGCTGTAAGTAAATTTCCAAGAAAACACAATAATAAATATACTGATAAAACAGGTCAAAGTTGGGGAATTGTTTATTGTTGGTTGGAAGATATCAAAAGGAAACTAACTGTAGCTCTCAAGTAGGTATATATGGATATATACAGGGTGGGGCAATAGAACGTCAAGTAGAGTGTGTCCCAAATTCGAGGGGTATCATTGGGATCTCGGTAACCATGATAGATACAAAGTCAGTTGAATTAGAGCAAAGTTGCGCAATTTGATGCTGATGAAAATGCCCCCTCAAAAGTTTAGAAATTCGAAATATTTCCGAAGATATTTGAAAAAATCGAATATCCGCGATTTCATTTTTTTTTTCTGATTTTATTTGAAGTGATATGAAAAAATAAGTTTTATATTATCATTGCCACTTTTTCCGCTTTATCCAATGGTATTAATAGATTTGTGATCCGATCCGACGTAGGTCTGGTCTTCAAGGAGCCATCATCAACTTTGGTTTTTTAAATAGCCATGATGAATTAAAATTCTGGAATGCTTGGAAAATGAACTAATATACTGTAATGATATGTATAATATATAATATCTACACTAGGTTTTTCTGGTGCACTATGTTGTGTAATTTATATACATTCGTTTTTTAAACACGTTCCTAGCTATCATAGGACTGGAGCAATCATACTCTGACACACTATTGCCCTACCCTGTATAAGACTGATAAGACAGTTCATGAATGTGATGCAAAATGATTTGTTTCAGGAATGTTGTGGATTGCTGGAGAATTTCAAAATAAATATTTATGTCACAAATCGTACAGTTGGTTGCACAGAATTGTATACGATATTATTTCTACTTAAATAATGTAAATACCCATGAAATGGACAGTTACACAGAAGTGCATACAATGTATTTTTGTAATTGATAAAAACATTGAGTACTGGGTGGCCACGAATATCGGGCTACCCCTGTAATTTTCAGTGGTTGTAGATGTATTGTTGACATTTTGTCAGATTTAAATACGTCACATTTACCACTTGTTGATGCAATTAGTTTATTGGGCCGCTTCCAATTTCACCGAAAGTGACCCCAACTTTTGAATTTTGAATGAAACACAAAAATATCGGCTGTAGTTTACATGTATTCGAAAAACCTTCACCCAAAAAAGGAATAATGACTTTGGGATTTTGGGAGTGCTGATCTTGACATTATGAAGTTGTCCATAAGAACACAAAGTTACATTTTGATATTTGATATTACAACTAGTGGTTATATTTAAATCCTTTGTTGACACTATTGATAAAGTAGTGTTAGATAAAGTTCATTGTCTTTCCTTGTATATTACTGATGATGATTGAATAGCATCATCCGAGGTCAATCCGAGGCATCGTCAAATATAACGATCAAATCTTGATTCAAATCTCCGTCAAAAATATTGTCTAATTTCGTTCTGTATATAAACAAACATCGATTTTTCGGTCATCTTGAAGTAAAAAATTTCGAACGACATTACAATTTGGCAAGTTGAACTCAGGATTTGAAAAAATCTTTTAGGGCCCTTGAAACACTTGTAATTATGAAAATTTTCAAAACTCTCTCGATATCACTTGCTAGGCTTCATTTATATACAATTTAGAAGTAATTCGAATTTTTAGTTATTCGGAGGTTTTTTTTCTGATAAGCACATATTTTGCTTTGATAGAGAAATGAGTACCAAACAACAGAGGAATTTACTGGGTGCGATTGGTTAGTTATGATTTCTGTTAGGATCCTATAAAAAATGAGAACAATCGATAAAATATTATATATCGATTACAAAAACAGTGAGACCAACTATATTTGTTGGTATATTAACAACCACCTAGGTGACCCCTATCTGCTATCGACGTATTTTCGTTTCCAAATGGATCACCTTGCAAGATATCATATTATGGTCTTGAATCTTTTCAGATTTAAATTTACCAGAGCCAAGTCTTGAGCTCCTCCTTAAAATGTGAACTGTAAATAAGCATCATTTGTTTTGGCACAGATAATTTTCTTTGTTCATTTGCCAATACATATTTATTTGGAAAGGTCAATGGTAATGGTTTTAGATAAAAATACATGCATCATTACAGACTGAATATTTAAAAAATATAAAAGTAGATTGGAGATTTTCATGGCCTGGGGTGAAACGTTCCTTATAATATATGATAAATAATTTATAGTGACATCATTTTGAGTCAAAAGCACAAGAAAATCTACAAACTTGCAAAACTTATTCCATGGGCATTTTTAGGTAGGATATCGAGCTGACCCTTTGGTATGATTTCCGCAGCAGCCATTACCAATGTTTTTATTGAGGTTTTTGACGCTTTTTATCGAAGGACATCTCCTTTACCTCAAGTGATCCACTTTTGAATATCTCAAAAGCATTCTATAACTTCCCTGAAAGTAGCAACACACTTTTAGTTTTACCACCTAGAAAGAACTACTTCTATGAGTTTGTATTTCAATCCTCAATACTATACTATAACTTCTAAATTAATTTTTCCTATGTTGTGGACATAATTTTTCACAAACACATTTCAAACATTTTCAATCAAAATTGGTTGAAACTTAATCATAATATGTATTTTTCTACGACCATCTATGAAAGCATGAAAGAATCTCATATCACCATAGCAATGTGAAAGTAAAAACTAACAGTGTGGGAATATTCCCGCACGCTCACGTGATCTTTGTTTGGTCTCCATGATGTATGGATGATTATAATACTGAATATTAATACTTACTATCATTGTATATACATTCATTTTAGTACAGTGTTCAGTACTTAATGTTCAGGTAATGTTGTTATTGCTAAATTAATGTCAACTTGATGTTGAGCTTATGTTGAATTAATGTACATAGTAATTTTGAGCTTATGTTAAGTTAAGGTCAAGTTAATGTCACGTTGATGTTGATTTGAAATTCAGTTGATGTTCTTTAATGTTGAGTTAATAATATGTTAATGTTAAGTTGATATGTTGATGTTTAGCTAATGTTGAGTTGATGTCAGGTTGATGCTAAGTTATTGTTGAGTATGTTAAATTTATGTTATATTGAGTTAATCTCAAGTTAATGGTAAGCTTATGTCAAATTACTGTTGAATTGATGTTAAATTAATGTTGATTCATTGTCAATTTAATGTTGAATTAATGTAGATTCAGTGTCAATTTAATTTTTGAGTCAATGTTGAGTTGATGTTGAGTAAATGTTAAGGTTGAGTTAATGTTTGATGATGTTAAGTTAACATCAAGGTTAAATTCAATAATAACAATAATATCACCTTCACGTGATCGAAAATGATTTCCCAGAAACACTCATGATGCATATAATTTAAATATTCGTGGTCGTAGGAAGAATAGTGTACAAATCTCGTTCAAAAGTGCATGCGGCTCGTGCTTAATGTCCACTCGCGCGAAATATGCCACTTTCTGCACTAGTTATGTAATATACTATCCCATCTCTCCTTCATAGCACATAACGATGCTGTATACTTGTTATTCCTAATTTGTAACACCCTGTTGTGTGGAAGTTGACGATCTACTAGTTGCCTACTAAAAATACCCCATAAATATTCAATTGGATTGAGGCCTGGACTGCGTGATAGTCTTCCTCGTTATTTACATTTTTGTAATGCGAGACTGATATCTGCTAGATCATTTTACGGTGTTGAGTGTTGATAGGAAAATGGACCCTTCTGATGCTATACAGGATATAGGATATTTTAGTCGAAGAAAGTAAAGCAGATTCTCACACCCTATGGAACACAACCTGCATAATATATAAGTCAACATAATGTATTGGATTGGAGGCTTACATCATGAGAAATTCAAATATAGCGTGTCAGTGTTTTTGACCATATAATATGAGGAATTAACAATGCTTGGTGTTTTTGTGTAACAATATTTATATCTAAAATACACACCAGATTCGGAAACATGTTATTCATTCAATTTGAATGAGTACTACAAACTTCTTTGTGTTCGTACGGCATGATTTCATTTAATTCTTGCCCGATTCCCCAATATTTCTTATCCATTCCCTCTTTCCGTGAATCTCAAGAAATGATAAGTTTTTACTTACCTCAGAAGTATTTTCTCATACGTTGATCACACTTGTTTATTCGGGCTTTCCTGCTTTTTCTTTGTCTATTCGCGATAGAAAATGAGACGTCGCCCCATCTGACGGCAACAACTGGAACATTTCTGAGCGGTTTTTTTCATGCTATGACCTATAAGCACAAATGAAAGACAAATGTGAACCAATGAAAAAAGTAAACAGTCCGCTTTGACAGCTTTCAAGATCTCCGATAGGTGGCGTACACTTATTTTCTATCGCGAATATTGTCAACAGCAGCGCTCAGCGTGAAATGGTCTAAATAAATGCAAAAAGCTCAAAGTCTATTTCCTAGTTGTGAAATGGTCTATTAAAATGTGATGTGCTATAATAGTTATTTACACACCAATGTAGTAATAGTTATTTAACCAACTAGTGTATCAATGAGGGCGAACAATGATCGAGATATTTTAACGTGCGAGCGAGGCGAACGCGTTAATGTTCGAGATCATTAATCGCCTTTTAATATACAAGTTGGTTACAAAATTTTTCCGTCGACTATATTTCTCAATTCTCCTGCAATGAAGAAAACTTGGTTCGCGAATTCATCATTCATCCGGAAACTGCTAAGAATCACCCAGTAGCCTTGTTACTGACATTAGTGACATTTGTCGAAATGATCAACATAAAAAATAAATTCCGTGTGTTAGAAAACAAGGATTAAAATCGTGTCAGATACTTGGAAAGGCGAACCCGTTAATCCATATTTTCGATTTAAATGAAGATTCCGTAAGTTATAGCATAAACAATGAATGCACGCGGTGTATGTTTGGTTGCCTATAAAACAATCGTGCATTAATAGACAAATTGATCATTAATAGGGGTCATTAATGAACGATTTCATGAACATTAAACTTACTCGTTAATACGAGGTCGACGGAAAAGAATATTTTTACCCAGAGACCAAGATTATATCCCGAGGCTTCAGCCGAGGGTTATAAGGTCCCGTGGTAATAATATTATTTACTTCCAAGGTTTATATTAATTTTTTTTCACCACTAGCAATATATTTCAATCATTTTGTTCTCTGAAACCGAAATATTGACATATTGTCACTATGAAAGGACTTATTTTCAATACCTTATTCGAGTGCCATTCCTGCGAATATCTGATCAGAACAGTGCATTCGGATCAATTACAACAGAGATGGCGATGCCTTTATCGACTAGTGGTTAATTAAATGGCGAAAACTACCTTGGTAGTAAAAACACACTTTACGTCTCGAAAAGGAGTAAATAATGGTAGGTTTTATGACTAGCGGTGGAAAAAATAACATACCTATGTCCACATAGATAATGAAGTGAAATGAGGGAAACAATGTGAAGAGTTTATGAGGCAATAATCATCTTGAAATCATATTTAGTGTATGTTGCTGGTACACCACATTGTGTTCTGATTTTTTTTAAATGAACCCACTCATTCTATCACATTGTATTTCATTAAAATCAATTCTAAATTTGAGAAATGCCAGCTTGGATATGTAGTTGAGAATGATCGTAATATTTCGTGTATGGAGTAGAGATTATGTCGCTTACTTATGCAGCATCTTTTCCACACATGATAAATGCACAGATAAAGAGGTATGCGCGTATTCTTGATTCTATAGTAACCTATTATGGAATCAATTTTGAAAATCCTGTATATTCTTCATGTAGAACTGTCTCGAATTCTTCTTTAATATAATCTTCAGCTCTAAAGGGATTTGAATTAAGTCTTGAATGCTAAGTTTTTAAAAAGTATTTCCCATTCCTTACTGTCTTTTTTGTCTTTTGTTAACAGATGGATTCCTTTATTTTTGTATACATATAACTAACGGTGATACAAATTTATTGGGATACAATATTTCATTCGCCAACATGTGGAAAACCCCAGAAAATATATGCACATACATAATACAGACAGATACCTATGCAGATACATAGTGGCGCATCCAGCTGGATCAATTGCGGTATTTCCAAAAAATCAGTGGGTCCAATTCTTCATCAGATTCTTGTTCGTTCAATAAGTCCTAATACACCTATTCAAATGTCACCAGAATCATATTATCAAAAACTATATCTATTTCTTATTCTTAAACTTTATATAAACACACAATGTGTGATTCTGATAATGTTTGAATTCTCATTGAATGTCAAAGTAAATATAACATTTGGCAATAATGAGTGTTTTCATTTCAGTGCTCCATAACAAATATGATGGATCAAAATCAACTACCTACAAACAGAATGGCACATCATTTGCTATCCATTATGGATCAGGAAGTCTCAGTGGATATTTATCAACTGATGAAGTTGAGGTAAGGTTTGAAAATACATACATAATTTAAAAAACTTCACTAAACGATAATATGTCTATGAAATTCCTCAAATCACAACATGTTCTGCTAACACAGTATAATAAATCAACCTAATATTGATTATATGGGGTGTTTTTGAAATGAGTACATATATTCAGCACATTGATATGATACAGTCTAAGGAAAATTTCCAAAATATCCAATTTACTGTAATTCTAATTAACGAGAAATTTCATCCAATTGAATAAAAAGCGTTAAAATTTTGAGAACGCCACTTTAAAACAATCTACTTTGGGTGGAAAATACGAATACAAAATCTTTATTTCCATTGATTGAAATATTACATCAGTATAGGCATTGTCATGGTCAAGCAAAAATATAAAACCTAATAGTAGAATAAAAAAGTGAGGAAATTTAATGGGAAATAGTTGAATTTCATCACTTTCCTTCGCACGCTAGTAGAAAGAATAGTGTACCTAATACGTGCGTACCCCTCAGGTGCTCACAAATTGTGAGTACGAGAATAGTGAATCCGTGGTACCCTAGCCGGATATTCACCATACTTCAACTTTTCTTGGGTGATATACTCTTATCTTACCCTTTTTTAAATCTATTCTATCGGCCTTCCTTGGCCAACTTCTCTTTTCCTCTTCCCCTCCAAGCCCAACCTCACCATTAAGGGATGTGGGGAGGACAGACCGCGGCTGCTCGACAGATGAGCATTAAGGGGACCATCTATGCGGTCTTGCGCCAGATGGGACATTGATTTGTGGACACTTATGGCAAAGTTGGGGCGATTTGCTCTCTCTAGGTGGCCGAGGACTGGTCAACGAGGCTATGGCAACCTAATCCATGCTGTGGGAACCCGTGGCGATGAGTGAATGGCACCGAGGTATGGTGTAAACAGCCTTAGCCCTGTGCAGGGGGTACCACAGGGCTGGACCAACCCCTTTCCCCGTTACTCGTAGCAGCTCGTAGGAGGAGGAAAACTTTTGGCCTTCGTAGATGAGAACAGGGATCGGAAGAGTTATCTTCAAGAACCTGAAATGGCAAACACCATGAGTCGTTGGTAAAATTGATAACGGCATGTAGGTGAGATACAATGGGCCACTAGGCATAAGTGTCGTCGGAGACATCGGTCAGACAAGACTACAAACGGGGTGGAGTGTTTAGGGAGTATACCCTGGTGTCAGGGGACTCCCACACTATCAAATGGGGGATTAGACCCATATGATGTCCATGAAGGATTTCAATCACCTCGACGAAAAAAAAAGTGCATGAAGTTACTTTTCCTTACTTGTCACATCCCAAGAACAAGGTATATTCCTTAATTTTTCTCATGTAAAATTTCAAAATCGCCATTTACAGTATAATTTTCTACTAATACAGTGTAGGCACACTTCCTGTAGTGTATTGATATGTATCACTATTTATAATGTATATGTGTCATGTATCATTCTGTATGTAAATATTCGGATTCATGATGACTAGAAGATTACTAAGGGTTATTGTCATAATAACTGGTAGATCATCTGTTTTCACTTGTGTAAAATAAAGATTCTCCTTCGTGAAGCTGAATCATTATTATTATATATCTCACGGATATAATAATTCCTTACGAAGTTATTGACTTCGAAAGTTTCTGCAAGTCCATACATATGCATACTCATCATTACTAAACTCATCGATGGTGTTACCAAAGTATTGAATACTGTCAAAATAATCTGATGTCAATTATAACAATGACTGCAACTACTATGATGTTATTGAATAAATAGAGTTTTCATTACCTTTGACACGGTTGGGATGTATGTTGTTAAAATAAAGTATACTATTTTTGTAGCAAAAGGATACAGGAATCAAACTGTGGAAGCAAAATGCCAAATTTGTCGCCTCTGTCAAAAATTAAACGCAAAAAATTCGTCTCATCCTGTATAAAACATAATCACTGAACAGCCGCTTACAAATCAAAGGAGCATTAGTATGAGTTAATTTAGTTGCCTGAATAATTTTATGTATGTAATGATAAACATGATTTTTCAATTTTCAATAAACCTTTTCACACTGATATCACTATTCATAATAATTCAACACACCCTCATCAACATAAAATTGCAGCATGTATGATACACAGGCTTGTGAATGCCTCTCCTTTGGAAGTGAATTTCAGTAAAGAACTCAATATCATTAAACAGATTGCAGTCAACAACGGATACAACGTTAATTTAATATAGAGTATTCTTCCTAAAACAACTTCATAATAAAGTTATTCAAGAAGTTTATCCTACAATCAAACATAATAATCAAAATAATAGAACTACAACCTATCCGGATCATCAACTGGAAAAATAGCTTCATTTCTACACAACCAGGACTTGAAAGTACCATAACACGTTGGGAAGGTTTATCAAAAACAATAAAGACAAACTTCTAAATTCGAAAAATCAGGGGTATGCAAAATCAACTGTGACAGGTCGTATGTTTAATCAGCGCATCCATGAAAATAAGTTGAATTTCTTGAAAAAGAAAACAAATTCAACATACGCCTACCATATATTAGAAGAAAACCATAGTTTTGATGATAATTTCGAAATTCTACACGTATAAAATGAAGGAATGAAACTCAATCATTTTGAATCATTAGAAATCAACAAACTAAAAAATTCACTTTACTTAACGATCAACTAGACCTCAATAGTTCACCACTGTTGAATTCGTTTTCTTAGTGTATTTGCTATTAACCCTTTCAAGATAATCCGGTACACCGCATTTTAATGTAGATATTGTGCCTATTTTCCGAAAATGAAGGTATATTGAACCTGTCCACAGGTAAATTCTATTCCTTCAGGTTGGGAAAGTAGGATATATAAAAGTTAGGCAAGCCAAGGTAAGTTAAGGTCATTGTACCAGTATTTCACCCGATAAAGCTACTGTGTTAGCAGAACATGTCGCGTGATTGCGAATTTTGTGAAAATCTTATTGTTTGTGAAGTTTTTACATTTGTCTGCTATATTATTTGATAGTCCTATTAGTTTTGATGAACGTGGGTTTTCAATAATTTTGTTGTAATTGAAGTTTCTCTTTTTCTCACTCAAAATACTAAGTTTTTGTTATTTTTTGTGACGGTGAATAAGGGGTGAATAGTACCCCGCGGCCTGCTGTACGAGACCTCTCGTCTCCCGTCTTTTCCGCAGACTTTCCTACTGGCTTACTACCGATCAGTTAACCTTGAGTTGATTTGATGGATATGATGCATCATCCCCAATTTTCAAATTTAATTTGTTTTCGAGTTCGAGATTTCGGAAGAAGTTTGTGAATTATATATTTTATAATTTCTATGACTCTCTATGTTTTAGATTGGTACACTCAAAGTAAAAGACCAGACTTTTGCTGAGGCTCTGAATGAACCTGGCTTAGCTTTTGTGGCGGCTAAATTTGATGGTATTCTGGGTATGGCTTATAGTAGAATATCTGTAGATGGTGTTCAACCCGTATTTTACAAGATGGTAGAACAGGGACTTGTTAACCAACCGATTTTCTCTTTCTATTTGAATAGGTGAGTAGTAAAACTCACTTTTTAGTTCAAATCTGATATATCAATTCCTCTCGATTCGATGGATTCGATTAATCAGATCTGAACTAAATGAGTTTTTTTATATTAAATAGCTAGTAAGTATTACATGTAGGCCTCGATATTCCTAGCTGTTTAGCGTACCGGAAGAAGTTACCGCTGAGGCCGATAGGCAATTTCACTATGATTGAAAATAGCCCTTTTTATTTGGCGAACGGTCTCATACATGACTCAGTATATCAAATAGCACTTCCTCTCATCTATTGATTCCTTAACAACCGTTTAATTAATACTTCAAAAGTGCTACAAATCGAGAGAGTTCCAAACGACAATTTTTCGCGGTGTGACGTCACTTGTATTTTCTTGAGGCTCCCTCTGACGACCCAAAGAGGATGCGTTGCACAAAACTACAGACACAGAACTCGAGCACAGAGTGGTTGAGTGATCTGTGACTTGAGAGAAAAATGGCTACAAAACAAACTATAGAAGAAGGAAAAGATTAACCTCGAAATCTAGTTCATAGTTCATTATTTCATTTCATTTTCAGTGATCTATCAGTGTCATATTAGTGATATTCTTTCAATCTGAATTAACTGAAATATTTTACTTGAACTGAACTGAATCAGTTAATATTTGTTCTTTCAAATGACCTTCATTGTATGTCAACTGATTCAGTTCAGTTTGAGTGAAATGTTTCAGATCAACGACGGCTAAATATCTAGACTGTTCGAAACTCTAGATATTTATCCGTCATTGTCACTATTATAGTTTTTATTGAGTGACAAATGCAATGACAAATGGTGACAAGACCAAGTGTATGACACGGCGTGACGTACCTTGTATTCGTCCAATGAAATGCGATCAATATTTTGCGCGCATTCGAGCTATCGTTTGAATTTAGATTCAATTTGATAATTTTTTTTGTGGGTCAACCGCAATCGTAAGAAAATTGAAAAAATGCTGAATTCAACCACTGTGTTCAAAAACGTGAAAAAAATTCAAAAAATCATGGTGAAATTCCCTATTGCGGCAAGATGATGTTGATTTCGCTAAAAAGTTTCGCCGGCATGGTAAACACACCAATTTTTGGAAAATCGTTAAAATTATTAAACAAGATAATTTTCTAATTGATACATTATTGCTATAGAGTCGACAGCCGTTCAATTCTATTACCAAAATCACAGCGTTAGCAACCCCGTATTTTCGAAAATATTTTATTTGGGTAGAGAATGTCCGAATATGCTCCATCAAATTTCCAAACTGATCCGTTATCTGGTTCACTAGAAACGTCTAATGGGCCATCCACCGTGCCTGTATATACCAAAAAATTTGACAGTTCTTGACGCGAATTTGGTCTGGGACTGATAATAATGTTGTTATTGTTCACGAATTCACACATTATTTTCAGTTTTTTCTACTGTTTCAACTAGGCCTATGTTATTACAAATGTTACCACTAGAGTCACTGTATGGTACCTATTAATTACATGAGAGTTCGGACACAGCTGAACTTCTGTCCTTTTTTATTCTCTATATTACAATGGTTTGAGTGAATAAAAGAATAAGACTGTTACAGAACCGGCAAGTGATATGCTGGTTACGTAATAAAATCTCAGGTGTAGGGTGTCAAAACTGAGGGAGGAACAATCAGTGATTGCTTCTGATGTTTTGAATTATATTTTCATCTAAAAAGGACATACATGACTTACATAAAAATGTTCCTAACCAAGAACCTGGGAATCGTTCCCAAGGACAACATTCACTACAAATTAAAATACGAAATTTACATACCTAAAAAGGACCTGGCACCAATAATCTTAGGATAATATTATTGTCAAAACCAAAAGGTTCGCTTCTTGACTACTCATATACGCTATTTCGAACTAAGAAAACAGCATCGGATTACGCAAAGATTGACATGACGTCCAATTTCTCTTTCTCGCAATTTCTTCAACACCAACACGAATGCTCAACAAGAAAAACTCTCGTGGGTACCGGACTGATAAACACGCAAAAAATTTAGGACTAGAATGTGGATGCAGGCGACATCTATTTATTGGACGAATAGGCAAATAGTTTGAATAGAAAGATTACTAGCACATGAAAAGCAAAGAGTATCGCCACTCTTGTCCTGCTACATCTTACCCCCTCAACTTCAGGGGAAGTAATAATAAGAGTAGATAATATTCCTGAGCCTAAGTTGTAGTATAGCTAACGGACATTGGGTGGTCGATAAGGTTTTAAATGGGACGCATGAAAAGTACCTCTTTCCTTGTTACCATCCGGATATAAAAGCACGAAGGTCGCGTCACTCACAGCCTTTTTGATTTTATAGGGGCCTTCAAACAATAGTAGGAACTTTTTGGTTTCTGCTTTTATTGCGGATGACGTATTATTTGCTTTTAGAAGCACTAAGTCTCCAACTAGAAATTTGGGGAAAGGGCGTCCAGGATACCTCAAAGATCGACGCGCCGCTTTACCACGTAAAGTGGCCTCGGCCAATATCAGTTTCTGGGCAGGTGATTTAGATGATGGTTGGATCGGATGCATCAAGGACTCAGGAAGCAACTTTGGACTTTCTCTGCCCAACTGAAGTTCATTAGGCGTAAAACCTGTAGACTCGTGAACTACGCTGTTCAAAAAATTAACGAATCGAGGAACCTCCTGCGCCCAGCGCGTGTGCTGTTCGGAACAGTATGTCCTGAACAATCGGCCTAACTCCCGCATTACTCTTTCCGAGGGGTTACCACAGGGGTGCCTCACCGAACTGTATACCAGCCTTATCTGCGACTCTTGCATTTTTTCCCTCCATAATCGCGAAGTGAATTGTGTCCCGTTGTCATGTAACAAACGTGACACTAGCCCGTAAGTCGGAAAATAGCTGGTGAATAACCGGTTGATAATAGCCTTGGATGTCGCACGTTTGAGAGGGTATAATTCGACATGTTTTGTGAACAAATTGTACACTACTAATAAATAGCATACTCCTCCCTTACTCCGGACTAATGGTCCATAAATGTCCATGGAAATTATGTCAGACTTGTGTGTAGGTACAATCTGCTTTTGGGGTGGACTAGGCAGAGTGGAGACCTTGGCCTTCTGACATATTTCGCATTTTAAAACTTCTCGTTTGATGGAACGATACATATTTGTCCACCAGACCTCATCTCTCAGAGCGCGCCAACACTTGTATACCCCAAAATGACCCAGGCTTTGGTGGTATGCGATAACAAAATCAGAAATCAACTGAGATGGAACACAGAGAAGATATTTATCAACGTCACCACCTCGTTTGAAAAGGATGTCCTTGTGGAGGGCAAAACCTTGTTGCAGCTTCTCATTAGTCGACAGCTGCTCAATGATTTGAGCTAACTTGGAATCTACACGTTGATGACGAGACATGTCTTTCAACAAGATATTGAACTCAGCTGGAAACACAAGAGAGGAACAAATTTCAAAACACTTATCAAGTGGTGTGGAAAAACGAACGCAGGCGTGCCGGGATAAGGCATCTGCTTGAATATTTTCATGGCCGGGAACGTGAATAACTTGGAATGAAAACTCCTGCAAAGATAGGGCCCACCGCGTGACTCGAGGGGAAAGAAGCCGACAGCTATGGAGGTAAGTCATAGCCCTACAGTCTGTGTGTAAAGTGAACGTAGTGCCCAGTAAATAAACGCGCCATTTTTGGATGGCCCATACTGCTGCCAACAATTCTTTTTCGAAGGAACTGTAACGGCGTTCTCGATCCAGGAGTAATCTTGATGCATAGGCCACTACGCGCCGCTCACCATTTACCACCTGAAATAGAAGCGCAGCTATCCCTACGTCGCTGGCATCGGTCTGCAAATGCCATGGTAGTTGAAGATCTGGGTGGTATAGCAAAGTAGCTGTCTGCAAGTCATCTTTGATGTTCTGGAAAGCACGCTCTTTGTTGTCATCCCACTTCCAAGGGACCTTTTTTTTCAAAAGTTCAGTGAGAGGTGCAGAAACTTCGGCGAACTTAGGGGTGAAAATTCGGTCATATTGACACAACCCCAAGAATTTTTGTAATTCTCGAGTATTTTTCGGTCTAACATAATCCGCAATAGCCTGCACTCGGTCAGGGTTTGGCCTGACACCTTCACTGCTCAGTAAATAACCTAGGTAATGCATTTGTTTTCGAAAGAAATGACACTTCGACAATTTTAGGGTCATGCCTGCCAATTTCAGTCTTTTGAAAATCATTTGCAGATGTTCTAAATGCTCTTCGACCGTGGAACTCATTACCAGAATATCGTCGACATAGACAACTAAGAAATCTCTAAACTCTGGCCCGAAAATGGCATCCATGCATCGAGTGAATGAGCTTACGGCGGTCGAAAGTCCAAAAGGAAGAACCCGAAAACGATAAGTTTTTGTTCCTACCATGAACCCGGTGTATTGCCGGTCCTCCTCACGCAAAGGCACCTGCCAGTATCCATGTGTAAGGTCTAGCGATGACATAACCTTTTTACCAGACATTAATTTGATAATCTCGTTAATGGGTCGTGGAAGCTCAAAATCGGGCTCCATAACGGAATTCAATTTACGTGCGTCTAGGCATACCCTAACACTACCATCCCGCTTGACAGTTGTCATTAGAGGAGATATATATTTAGAGGACGCTCGTTCAATTACCCCCCAGTTTTCCATGTCGCTTATGATTTTTTCCACAGCTGCACGGTGTGCAACTGGTATGGGGTATGGCTTCACAAAAAATTCCGTCTTGTTCTTCAATTTGATACTATGTGTATATTCCGAGGTGAGTCCCGGAATGTCCGAAAAAACATCATCATACTGTTTCAACAAAGTTTCGAATTTATTTTGTTCAATGTTCGTGAGAATATTTGAATCAGGGTCCTCCTCCTTTATTTTCTTCAAGATTCCTGATTCGAGGCCGTTATTATTTACGATAGCGCTAATATTTAGCGAATCGGGAGCACTAATGTCGTCCCAGTTCTCAAT